TGGTCCTGTGTGGCTTCTGCTGGAACATTGTGCTGTAGCAAGCATCCTCATCCTGAACATTTTTTTAGAAGCAAAGAGAAAAATATCCTCCACCTTGCATCCTGCAAGGCTCTGTCCTTGCTCTGCAGCACTCCTAACCTCTACTTCCCACATTGGAATTAGCAGGCCCACGTTCTTCCTGCAGGAAACCCAGGAATCAATGAACCTCTCATCTTGGAGCAATCCAACTGGTCACTTGTCAGGTGTGAAAGTTGAGATCAGGTCTTTCCAACCTGAAAAATCTTTCAAGTCAGACTCTTGGGGTTCAAATACCAGTTCTGCCTTTTAAAAAAATTTTTTTTATTTGTTCTAATTAGTTATACATGACAACAGAATGCATTTCGTTTCATTGCACACAAATGGAGCACACTTTTCATTTCTCTGGTTGTACGTGATATAGCGTCACACCATATGTCGAGTCATACATGTACCTAGGGTAATGATGCCCATCTCATTCCACCATCTTTCCTACCCCGATACCCCTCCCCTTTCCTCCCTCCCCTTTGCTCAATCCAAAGTTCCTCCATTCTACCCATGCTCCCTCCCCCCATTATGGATCAGCATCCACTTATCAGAGAGAACATTTGGCCTTTGGTTTTTTGGGATTGGCTTACTTCACTTAGCATGATATTCTCCAACTCCATCCATTTACCTGCAAATTCCATAATTTTATTCTCTTTTAATGCTGAATAATGTTCCGTTGTGTATATATACCACAGTTTCTTTATCCATTCATTTATTGAAGGGCATCTAAGTTGCTTCCACAGTTTAGCTATTGTAAATTGAGCTGCTATAAACATTGATGTGACTGTGTCACAATAGTATCCAATTCTGCCTTTCAGTAGCTGGGTGATCCTAAGCAACATCCTTGAACTTTCTTTGAGTTTTCCCATCTGTAAAATGGAATATGAAAACCACCATGTAGAAAAGAATTAAATACTTTCAGCTCTGAAAATTTCCAGTTCCACTCTTTTGGGGCCGTGGCCATAGCAAACTAACCAACTTATCTTTTCTGGTGCCTGGGACTCCCCTGGCTTGTACCTCTCCCCTTGCAGCATAGATACGTTGTGATGATAGGTACAAAGATTTGAAAGAAAAAAGTACAGCCATCCTGGCCAAAGCCGCTTCTGGCAGCCAATTAGAAAGCCATCTGCCAGGAAAGCCATTATGGCTCTTAGGCCTCATCACCTCTGACAGCTGCAGAAGTCATCCTCCTGGTCACCATCCACATGTTAAGAGTGTACCCAGCAGATGTGGCCTCCAGCTGCCTCCTGTGCATTTTTTATTATTTTGTTGAAAATATCAAAGGCTCAGCTATGTTCCTCCCAGGTCCTGGGCCACTGGCCGGTTTTTTAATTTGCGTGGCATTATTACATTATGTACTAGTCAGGAGAGATTCCATTCACTTCCCGTCATGTGGCCATACTGCACGTTCTCCAAACTGAAGCAACCTTCTCTGGGCTCCCTCGGAGGCCAACAGTGCAATGAGTTCTTTATGACTTTGCAGTAAATTTAAATACAGCGAGCCCCTCATAAAATATAAGTTTTCCACTCGTTCGTCCTTTGGGCCAGTAGCATTCTAGAAGGCCTGGGGAAGATTGCTGAATGACAATCCCAATGCCAGTTGCTGGCTTGCCAGTGTCCTCCAAGGTTACCGGTGTGGACCCTCCAGTCCAGACCACTGGCCTTCAAATCCCCACCTGCCATTTAACAGCTGTGTGAACCTGGGCAGTGTACTTGAACTTTCTTTGCCTGAGTTTTCCCATCTATAAAATGGGTTAATGATAGTACCACTACTAATGAGCTCCACATGGGAGACTGATAGAGAACCTGACAACCACCAGTCCACTCAGGTGGTTTTCAGAGCCATCTGCCACTGGAGACAATTGTGTGGCTACCAGGAGTCTGCCCACATCTCCAGGGAGAGCGATATTTCTGATTTCCATTCACAGCAGACTAATATCACTTCATAATGCCCAGGATCTTGCAGTACCTACACCAGACAGCCCAGCAGAGCCACCTCTCCTGACAGCCCTGGACCACCTTCGCCAGTTGCCCCCAACATGTCTCAGGCTCTACAGGCTTCTGTCTGACTCTCTCATAAGGGTGTGTGTGTGCGTGTGTGTGTGTGTGTGTGTGTGTACACACATATGCATACACTTGTATGTTTTACCTTAATTATCTACAAAGGTCTCCTTCTGCAAAATGTGAGGACAAGAATGTACCCCTCTGAGGTAGATGTGTAGGGTCAATGCTCAGGACACTAGAAAAAAGTAATTTGGTGGCCCGTGAAAGCTGGAGCTCTAAGGCCACTCCCACTTCAACTGTGAGGACCCACCATGCCTTTGAAATGGGTGCCCTCCTGGGAACCTGTCCTACAGGCTCTACGGTTCTCAGAGATTGTCTAGAAAGGAATGTGCTCATGGTCACTTCTCATAAGGATGTCTATTTACTGTAGTTGGTTTTTAGTTATCCCTTCTGATGTCTTCAGAACCAGTGTGTGCTAGGGAGTACATGGCCACTGGGGGGATTAGGCAGCGCCCCAGAGGCCTGTCAACCTTGGCATCCCTAGCCTGCAGGTGAATCCTCTGGGTTGGGGCTCTGGTCACTGCCTGTGCCTCTGAAACAGAAAAGAATCTTCTCCTGAAGGTCAGGGTTCTGTGGGTGTAACACTGTCCTCCTGGGATTCAGTGCCTAGATTGATAGAACTCCAGGAACAAAAATGTCTGAAATGTCTGCCTGTGTGCATGATGCAGGGCTTTATTGGAAGACAGAATGATGCTACTCAAATACAGGACTCTTCATATTTTCCCTGAGCCCTCACTCACCTCCTGAATCTAGGGACCAAAACTCTGTGGGGCAAGCACATTATCATGGTAGCCTCCATCCTGTGGGGAAAGCTCAAGGATGAGTGCAGGAACAGGTTGTGAGATGGCTGGAGCAATGTAACCTGGAGGTCTGCGGTGGAGACTCAAGTGCTCCAGGCTCCTGGCCCCAGGGCTTGGGTGGTGGGGTGTAGCCTTGCCCCCGGTGGTTGCTTCCACCCCCAGGCCTAGTTCTTCCCCCATCCCCGGGCCTAGTTCTTCCCCGGCATAGCATTTGTTTATGGCCTGGATTGTCAAAATCTTCCCAACCATGCAATTAGGGCCCATGATTTAATTAGTGTTAATTTATTTGTAAAAGACACAAACTTCCTCTTCGTATATCATCCTTTAGTGCTTCAGAGGCCACCTGCAAAATAACTTGGCCTGTCAGGTTAACTTATTTGTATATTTTTAGGTAAGAGAAAACTCTAATGAAAATCGTAAGGTGTTTAGAATCAAATCACAGATGTAGCTAACAGGATACTTAGGTGAAATTTTGAAGTTTTAAATACATATGTTGAAAAAAATGAATGTTAATGATCTATAGCCATCTCAAGAAATTAGAAAAAGACATTACATGCAGATAGAAAGATAAAAATACAACACATGAGACCTTCAAACTACAGGGGGGGGGGGGTCAGCATAAATTATTGCATTATAAATGCTTAAATTATTGCATTATAAAGAAAAGATTTGATTTTTAAAATGCTAGATTTTAATATTTATAGCATATGTCATGTTATATCTATGTGTTTCTATTTGCTTAAATTATGCTATTCGCAACTTTTATAACTAGAGGCCAGTGAGACAGATATTAAATTCTGATGATTAACAAAGAATCAGTGCCTTCAAGTTAAAATGTGTGTTACTGTCGCTTTCCATCACCAGCTTTCAGACACAGCACCAGTAATGCTTTTTGTTTGGCGGGGATGGGGGGTACCAGGGATTGAACTCGGGCATTCAACCACTGAACCCCATCCCTGGCCCTAGTTGCTTAGTGCCTCACTTTTGCTGAGGCTGACTTTGAACTTGTGATATTTCTGCCTCAGCCTCCCAAGCCGCTGGGAACCAGTAATGCTTTTTCTAGCTGCTGGGTTCATTCAATTGGACTCCCCTGGGCTGGCATGGGAGGGGTTAGGTCGTTACAGTAGCTTCTCATCAGTGTCCATCATGACTGTCCGGATACTATGTAACTAAACTAAAATAGGCTGGTAACTAGAACATCCCGGCCACAGGAAGCTGGGACTACCGTCCTTAGTGTTGATTTCCACTTTTTGTCACTCCCAAGCCTGCTGCCTGTAATAAAGTTTTACTGGCACACAGCCATGTCCATTCTCCTAAGTGTTGGGCTACACACTTCACCACAAAATCAATTAATTGACAACAAAGCACCAGGGGGAAGTTCTTTCTTCTCTCCTATTGGGGCTTTGCACAAGATTATAATCTTTAAAAAATATATATATATATATATATATATCTGTTGCTGATAAAACTTGAAAACAACTATGTGGGGGCTTCATTTCTGGGAGAAATAACATGCAGTTAGTAGCAATACTGAAATAATCCTGAAGGCAAGCTGTCAGACTAAGCCTTCAAACATGCAAAAACTGCAAATAACAGTCAGGTTGGTTTGTTTTAGGAATAAGTTTTTAAACTTAAAATTATTCTATTTGTATTTTATGGCAAAACACAACAAAAGAATGCTTCAGTGAATTGGTTATACATGTTTTAGAAATCCATGGCTGGCCTGGGTGGTAGAGCACTTGCCTAGCATGCACGAGGCCCTTGGTTCAATCCCCAGCACTTACACACACACACACACACACACACACACACACACACACACGTTATTTTGAAAGGTATACACTGATTCCTTGACACGGTTGATAGAATGTTTTCATATTGGCCACATTTTTGACGTTTTGATTTTCATACTTTCTACAAGAAAATTGGACACGTCTCAGTGCCTATAGTCTTGTCTCCCCCATTAGGCTGAAGAGAATCCATTCCATGGGCAGCAGGCCACACCTAAAGCCCTTCTCCTCGGCCCCCTGCAGAACCAGAAGACATTCAACAATTCCCTTTGTGTCTTTGAAGGATATTCCCCGAGTCCCTCCGGTGGCTGATGGCTACCCAGCAGTTTGAGTCTGCAAAGAAGCTGATCCTGCACTTCACCCAGAAGAACTGCATGAGCCCTGAGAGCGACATCAAGGGCGTGATGCCCGGTAAGTAGACTGTGGGCTGGCGAAGGTGTCCAGAGTCTCCGTGGAGCAGGCCATGATTCCTGGGCTGGTTTTTCTGTACCAAGCAGCTGTTCTGTTCAGTTCTTCTGCAACCAGTGATTTGAAGAAAGGCAGCAGTAACATCTAGAGGCTAGGAGTTAGAGCAAACTGAAATTCTCTCCCCTTTCTGGGTGTTGGTTTCTTTCATGATGACGTTCAACACATTATAGTGCTCACATTGCCCTTCCAAATCTAGAAGTGGGGTATGAGCCTAATACACACCTGATCTTCACTGTGTATATTGGGCTTGTGGCACTCAGCCTGACCTGCCTGAACTTCCTGCCCTTTCAGATTTAAAAGCCACCAAAGCCCTGACTTGGGATGCATATCTACTATCGCCTTCCTGACCTCTCTTTTCCTAATAATGACCTTCAGAGAGCTGGCCTTTGTCTATTTCTGGCCATGACCTATTTGCTGGGCAATGGAAGAACTGGAAAACCATACTGTTCTTGTATAGTGGTTCAGATCCATTGGATTCTTATGAATCAGAGGCATTGTGAATCACAAGCTAGGTGGGGCTGTAAAGTGGGGATCCATAAATATTACCAGAAGATTGTTCACATCCAGATTCCTGGACCCCTCTTTGGACCCAGAGATGTGGACCTAGAAGATGTGAATAAGCCCTGAGAACTTAGATTTAAAGAAGAGATCATGGGATAAGTGTTGTACAGACAGACTTCTGAAAGACACTGTAGACCCAAATGCCCTATCCTGAAGACCTGGTATACATTGTTACTGTAAAATTTCCTAGGAAAATAATCGACAGGTCCTTGTCCAGGAGAGTGTGCACATTTCCCCCACCAGCAGAAATCCTTGTTATGACTGTTCATTCATTCAACAGATACCTACTAAATGCCCACTGTATGTCAGGCACTGTTCTAGATAGAGCAAGGAGGGAAACAGGCCAAGGCTTGCCCTCAGGGGTCTTGAAGTTAGAGCCTGCATGCCGACAGGAAGTGGATCCACGGGCACTCAGAGGCAGGGGTGGAACAGCAGGACAGAGGGATGGAGAGCGGTGGTGAGTGACTGAAGTGGGAATGGCTGGGCGAACCTGGCTTCAAGGCACAGTGAGCAGGGACCTGCGCCAGGTAGGAGAACGTACCCTGCAGGTCTCCATTCCCCATAAGAAAGGGACAAGGGACCAGAACAGAGAAATGTCTAGCTGCCTTCCCATTAGACTCCTGAATCAGAAGATCTGATAATCTGGGTTGGTAGAAGTGCCACGGGTACTGCTGCTCAGCCAGGATGCCATCTCTACCTCCAGCTGGAGGACAGCCAACTGGGCCACCACCACATGCTGGGCAAGGTGTGTTCTACCAGCCCTCAGCCCCAGAGGAGAATACAGGTCGACCCAAAATCCTGTCCTCTCTGGCATGAAAGATGGGAGCCTGGTCTGTTCTATGTGCAGAGTGCTAGCACCTCAAGGGAACATCTGTGGTCCCTGTGATCCGGGCGCAAGGATAGCAGACAAGATGACACATAGTGTTTATATGGCAGTCGCATTTCTAAATGATTTGCAAGTATTGACTCATGTATTTAATCCTAAATGCTTTACATGTATGAAGCCATTTCTTCCCAACAGTCCTATGAGGGAGGAACTATAATTGTCCCCATTTGCAGATGAGGAAACTGAAACACAGAGACTAAGTGGCCTTGTTGTGAAACGGAGGTCACATGGCTGCTAGGTAGTAGAACTGGAACTTGAACCCAAGAAGTGGCATCACTGTGCTGCTCTCAGAGAGGAAGGAAACCTTGGAGATGTGTGGGAAGGAAGGAGTATTATATTAAGCTTTTTCCTTGGATCCAGATTTGCTGGCTTTGGGTCATCCCCAGAGCTTCCCCAAATTTCTCCAGGCCTCTTTCATTAGCAGGTTCATGCTCTCGTGTCTTACGGTACTTTTGTACTTGCCTTTCCCTAATTAAATTATCATACTTCACTTCTTGCGGGTTAAAATATTGCCTGGGAAAAGCTTCTTTCCTCAATCCTAATTACACTGATTCATTTCCCTCCTGTTTTTGGAAAGGAGTATTAATTATTTCCTTGCTTATGGGCTTTGTTCGTGCTCATTTCTATTCTGCAGTGCCGGCCAGGAGGCAGGGCAGGGTGGTTGGTACACTTGACACTTAACACAGGAGAAAGCTTCACCTCCACCAGGGACCTGTCGTCACAGAGCTCTGTCTGGGGGGCACTAACTTCACATCTGCTTCTGGCTCTCTGTCGCCTCCTGACTGTCAAGGGCTTTGATGACAGCCTCGAGCAAAACTGGGGAGCACTTGGGGGATGCAGCAGGTCTCTTATATCTGGCCAAAGCTGCCATTTCCATCTTCGTCCACTGATACATTTTTCTGCTTGAAATCATCTTCCCATCACTTGTAGTCTCCTAACCCACTCCTGGTCTCTTACTCAGCCCACTCCAACCAGCTAAATGCACTACCTGGTCTGCTCATCCTCCTTGCTGTCCCTTCTATCTGCAGCCAGATCAAATATCCTCAGGTCACATCAACTCCTGCTTTAAAACTCTCTCGCAGCCTCCCTGGGCCTTTAGGATAGATCCCTGCATCCTCCAAGCAGGAACCCTGCCTGGTCTCTGCCTACCTCCCGCAGACAGCTGGCCTTTGTTGGGCTCCCACATGCTTCCCCACAGGGCCCACCCCAGGAAAGTCCCCTTGCCTCTCTCCCATCTTGGCTGACTCCTCAGAGCTCAAGTCAGCCCCCAGCTGTGCATGAATATTGCTGCCACACTTCCCCATTTCCCCTCAGGCTGGCTGTAATGAAGGATTTATAGGACTCCTCATTAGTGCCTGCCACCCCTGCAGAGCTGTGAGGCTTGGTCAGGTAGAGCTGGTCTGCAGAGCTGGCTGCTGTACCCCTTGCACCCAAGAAGACCTGACATGTACCAGGAGTTCCATGAATATTTATGGAATATACAGATCCAATCCTCTGTCACCAGGAAGGGTTAGGGCTGCTCATTCTGTCACCTCTGGTTACATGAGTGACTTGGATGTAGCTCTAGGTGTGTGGGGGTGGAGGGGGACTGCTCATGCCCCTATTAGTGCATCCTAACCTTGGATTTATGCTAGAAGAAAACCTTTTGTTCCAGAATTTTCCATTTCCATTCCTCTTTTAAAGCTATCTTCAGTTTATCATCGAGCATGTCTGATGTTCTTAGTGGTGTGTTGCAGCTGAATTACTTCAGACACTCGGATGTATTCCTGAGTGTCATTCTCTCCGTGTCACATGACATGCCCAAATATGACAGCATTCCTTCCTTCCCAGGTCATAACTCCCAATATTTTGAAAACTTATAACAGAAGTAGAAGCCTTGATGGTTCCAAATGAGGCCATATTGGTGCTGTCGCTCACTGCAGAAAACTCCTAGCATAAGACGCAGGATCAGCCCCTTGCTTTTTAGTAATGGCAAGGCCAGCAAAGAGCCACGGGGCCTGGGGAAAACCCTTGATGTGCATTTACTCCACGACACAGCCTTGTGATGGGGGAGAACCTCAGTTCAGGCCCAAAGAGGCAAATCCCTCTTCCCACCATCCCCAAGGTTGCCCCGTGGAAAGGAAGTCTTAGAGAAAGGAAGCCCGGAGAACAAACTTCCTTCTTTCCCTTCTTGGGGGAGAGCCATGAGTGAGGAATCAGTGTCCTTTGTCCTCTCCTCTGGGCAGCCCCGCTAGAGGAGCCAGCCTGCTCTGGACAGGTGGCTCTCAGAGCCAGGGAGAGCCGGGCCTTGCCCTCACCTGCCTCATTCTTTGTCTTACCAGTCAGTTCAGAGCCTTCAGTGACTAGAGGGTCCCAGAATAAGGACACCTCTGTGTCCTCTGCATTAGGTAACCTGCCCAAAGTCACAGCACTCACAAGTGATGAAACAGATTTGACACCTGACCCTTGCTTTTGACCCCTCTGACGCATGACTTCTTGCCCCTCTCCGCAGAGCGTTGGGTTAGGGGAGTCACGTATCAGACAATGACAGGGATCTGCAGTGCTGGGTCAGTTGTTGAGAATGTGGGTAGATTTTGAAATTCAGCTGTCTGGAGTGACTATGATAAGACTTGGAAGGCAAAGTTGCTCTAGTGGCCAAGGGCCACCATTCTAAATCACTACCTGGGGGCTGAAGGCCACACAGTACAGAGACAGCAAACGTCTACTTCAGAACGTGGGCTGGGGCCTCAGAGCCGCTGCCCTGGTGCTTTGGGTGTACATTTTTTTCCATAGCTTTTATGGCAGTGGTGCAGCTTCTCCTCTTCCTCCTCCTCCTCTCCCTTCTCCTCTTCCTTCTCCTCTTCTTCCTCCTCCTCCTCCTCCTCCTTCTCCTGTTTCTATTTTTCTCCCCCACCCCCACTTCTCTTTTTGCCTTTTCTTGCTTTTCATTTCTGTAACTGCCATTCTCCAGTTTCCCTGCTAACATTAGCCTTGTCCTCAAGCACCAAAGCAAGTCCGGCTCCCCACACACCGACCGCCCTGCAGACCGACGCAGAGCCCTGGTGCACCTCCTGCACCTGCTGCGGGGTGAGCTGCCTCTGCCTTCTCCCTCTGCTGGCCTTGGAAAGAGTAGTTGGCCTCTCACACCCAGAGCTTCCAATGTGGAGAGGCGGTGACCACCTTCCAGGGGTCTGCAAGGCCACCTCTGCCTCCCACCGTTGGTGGGGAGAAGCCAGGGCGTGTGCAGTCAGCAGACACAGGGCTGGGGGTGCTGTGCAGATGCCTTGACGCCTTCCTGCATCTGGTCCTTAGGGCAGCACTTTGTCTCACTTAACAGATAAGAGCCAGGCTCACAGCATGAACATGGTCCTCCATGGCCACAAGGCAGAGGGACATTCCAGGACCCCAGTGGGTGACTAAAACCACTGAGAGCACCAAACCCTGGACAGGCTTTGTTTTTTCCCTCTATAGGTATGCCTGTGATAAAGTGGGATTTCCAAATAGGCACAGTGAGAGATTATAACAATAATAACTCATAGCAAAGTAGAACAATTAATACACTGTAATGAAAGTTATTTACAACTTATGGATTGCTAATATCTAGAAACTTCCATTTAATATTTTCAGACCACCATTGACTGCAGGTAACTGAAAACTCAGCTAAGGGAAGACACTGTAGATGATTTTCCCCAGGAAACACAAAGCCAAGCTTCCATCCGGGCTCCTTAGGCCCTCACCACACCCAGACCTCTGCTGCTGCCACACAGGGGCAGGGAAACGCAGAGCAAGGGGGGGCTGCACCTGTTTGATCAAATTAAGTAGGCTCTACCTGTGTCTCCATTTGAAATTCTTCTAATGACTGTAGATCAAGAGAGTTAAAGAGTTTGGGAAGGGGACAGCATGAGGCACACCTTTAGCAGCAATGTCCCTGAGGCTTGTGTCCCATGGATTATCCAGGTGTCTTCCCACCCTCTCCTTTTATTTCCATCTGCAAGGAGTTTAGATTTGCATCTCTTAACTAGAGAGACAAAAGGTCTCTTCTCTTCAGTGACCTCATGGGGTCTCAGAAGTCAGCTAAATTTTCTTACAACTCCCAGCTTGTGGATTTTATCCCAGAAGAACACACTTCGTGCTGAGGGAGTTTCATGTTGTTGCTGATAGGAGGGTGATGGGAGTAACAGAGCCTGACAGAGTATCAATATCCCTGCAAAGGTTAATTTAATTCCACTTAGAGTAATGTGGTTACCTACATACACTGTAGTCAATTCTTAGACTGAGCTCTAAGGCTTAATGTTATTTAAAAAAAAAAAAAAAAAAAACAACTCAGATCATAATTCAATTGCTACAGCTTCTTTAACATTGTATTTCATACACAATAATGCATTAGCAGTTAAGCATGGGCCACATTTTTAAAAAGGAACAACTTCAAATGTATATAAACTTGTTAATGAATAATTAAATTTCCATGGAAGATTTACCTGGTGAGAAAACACAGCGATTATGGTTGATTTCTGATGAGTTTTACAACAGTGAAGATACCTACATCATTGAATGTAAGAGTATCTGATATTCATATTTCCAGGCTCTTAAGAGAAATAGTCATACACTGCATAACAATGTTTGGGTCAATGGAGGACCTCATACACAGCTATGGTCCCATGAGATTTTTTTTTTTTTAATATTTTTTTCAGTTATCCATGGACCCAATCTTTATTTTATTTATTTATTTTTTAATGGGGTGCTGTGGATCAAACCCAGTGCCTCACTCATGTGAGCCAAGAGCTCAACCACTGAGCTACAACCTCAGCAGCCCCATGAGATTTTAACAGAGCAGAAAAATTTCTAAACATTCTAGCTGTATAACATCACAGCAAAACACATTCCTCACGTGTTTGTGATGATGCCTGTGACAAGCCTACTGTGCTGCCAGTCGTATAAGAGTAGAGCATATACAGTTACGTACCATGCATGGTACTCGATAATGGCAGTAAACTGGTTCATGTGTTTACTACATATAGTATACTTTTATAGAATGTCTTCCTTATTGAAAACAAATGGTTGACTATAAAACAGTCTACTGTGAGGCCAGCAAGCAGCCTCGTCTGTCTGGTGTTTTCCGCATCTCTCCATGGCATCCAGAGGCCCCTCAGACCATCTAGGTCTGTGTGAGAGCACTCAGTGATGTTTGCCTGAGAACAAAGTCATGTGAACATCGCATTGTCAGACTGTAGTCCCTATCGCTATTATTAAGTGACTAGAGTGTATTTAGTTATTTAACCATAGAGAAAGTGTGTCCACAAATTAGTGAATTTTTGCTGATGGGAAAATACAGGTCGGGAGAACTCAGGAGCTGAGGGGGTCTGTGGATAGTCAGGCAAAATGCCAGCTGTGCTGGTTTGCACAGACCTGAATCTCCACACCTAAATATGGGAAAGAAGAAAGTTCTGGAAACTCAGGAGGCATGGTCTCCCTCAATCAGAGGAATCCTTCACATCTGTGGAGTAGTGGTTTGGGGATCACTCTTGGATACTAAAATCTGTAGATGCTCAAGTTCCTTCTATAAAAGAGTGCAGTATTTGCGCAGAACCTTCACACAGCCTCCCATACCCCTTAGTTCATCTCTAGACTCTTCATGATCCTAATTGGATGTAAATCCTATGTGAATAGTTACGTTGTATTGTTTAGAGAATGTCATGTCAAGAAAAAAGTCTGTACATGTTCAGTAAAGAGGCAATTTTTTTCTGACATTTTAGATCCACGATTAGTTGATCTGAGGATGACAACCCATAGATACAGAGGATGGACATATATGCCCCCAGACACTCAAGGTTTCCTCAGTAGATAGGGGCCTCTGATATTTATTTCAATGTATTTCTTATTCTGGAAATTTTTTGTATTTACAGGAAAGTTGCTAAGACAGAACAGATTTCCAAGTGCCCCTGACTAACATCTCTTATTTCCATGATACCTTTGTCAAAACTGAAGAAACTGAGTACCAGCATACACTACTGTTACCAACCTTCAGCCTTATTGGTGTCACCATTCTTCCATTAGTGGCTCCTGACCCAGGACCCCTTATACAGTTAGCCATCTCTTCTCCCCACCTCCATCCCTCATCTCCCTCTCCCCTGACCTGTGACAATTTCTCAGTCTTTCCTTGTTTTTTGGTGACTGTGACGGTCTTGAAGTGTACTGGCTCCCTCTCCCAATCTGTGAAGTCTCTTTTATTTTTTAGTTCCTAAGTGGAGGATTACTCCACAAGGACATCCCCTGGCTAGAGAATAGAGAGGGGACCCAGGAAGCCAAGTGTGGGACACTGCCGCTCACGGGCAAAGGCCAGTCAGCTCCTGGAGGCTGGGGCCTTTCCTTGTTTTGATCTTCTCTGTTAAATTGCCAAGTCAGCATTTGTAAGCAGACTCGTGGCCTGGTTACAATGACATAGGAGCAACTGTTTGACTCGGTCAGAAAGACTTCCCGGCTACCCTGAGCCGCACCAGAGTCTCAGTGTCATAGCTTTATAGTCCGTCACATCCTTTTGAGTAAAAACATTGTCTGTCTTGTTTTTGTTTTGTGTTTGGGGTGCTGGCAAGCTAAGCCTGTGCTCCACCACCAAGCTGTACGCCAGCCCCAGATCCCAAAGACTTTTTGTCAACTAAAACATGCACATACGTATTCATTTGTCTCTCAAATGTCCACATACTATATGGGCAATTTCTAACAGAAATAGCCACAGTCATGGCATCAGGACTAAAGAATACAAGTAATAATTTAGACTTAACGGATATATAGAGAATATTTCACCCATCAATGACTAAATATACTTTCTTCTCAGCAGCACATGGAACATTTTCTAAAATAGACCATATTTTAGGCCACAAAGCCAGTCTAAGCAAATACAAAAAAAAAAAAAAAAAAAAGGCATAATCTTGCATCCTATCAGATCATAATGAAATGAGATTATAAATCAGTGATAAAAAATAGGGTCTCTGAGCTGTGGGTGACAAACATATTCTATAAAGAAAAGAGCCATTTGTTTTGTTTGCCCAGGGCATAATGAGGGCCTGGGTAACCTAGAAAGTCATCATCAAGTGATATACTCAGAAAAAAGTTAAATGAGTCTACACTTTTTATTTGTATGTACCCTGCCTGGGTAAACCCTCCCCCCACAAAAAAAAAAAAAAAAAAAGCTTTGCAATGGAAACTTACACTACTATGTTTTGGCTCCCTTTCAGTCTCTATAGGGGATTTTGAACTGCAAAGTTAGAGTCCTATGAGTACATTTCTATCCCAAAAGCCTAGACCCTATCCCTGTGTTAAAGGAAGGAAAGGCTTTCTCCCCTCTGTGTGGTGCCTGGACTGGAATCTTCCATTCTGCCCAGTCTCACACAGTCTGTCTCTTGCAGAGCTGGAGAAGGAGCTTTCCCGGAGACCCAAGAAGGTGTGCATCGTGAAGGTGGTGGGGACCCGGAACCTGTGGAAGAACATCGTGGTTCTGTGTGTGAACTCGTAAGTCACAAGGGGACACATGCAGCCAGGTGGGGGGCAGGCGGGGCATGGGGTGCAGGATCCTCCTCCCTGCCCTACAGAGGATTTTGAATCACAGCTTACCCCCTGCCTGCTCTCAGGCCAGCTCTCTGTGAAGGGGGTCATGGGAAGTGTGATACACCCCATCAAAGCTACTTATCTGTGGGCTTGAAGATATCTAGACTCCACCAGGAAGCCTCGGGCAGCTAGCACCCCAGCCAGTGGTCCCTATCCCAGCTATCTTGCCCTGTGTCTTGCACAGTGCCAGAGCTCCCCAAGTACAGGAAGCCCAGATGGAGGCCCAAGCTAGGGCACAACAGATGTGTCCTAGAAACAATTCCCTCTCTCTGCTTTTTAAAAAAGTGAGCGGGTTTGAGATGATGGGCCCTTGCCTGGCTCTACAACCCAGGCCACAAACCATGCTCCGTGCCTGTCCTCAGCCCTGCTGGCTCACGCCTGCACCCCAACCTGCTCAAAGGCCCCAACCAGGGGTAGCTGCAGATAATGGTAGGTCAGCCTGAACCAAGAGCAGCTCAGATGCTCTCCAAGAGGCCTCTCACACACTACTGTACACACCCACCTGCTGGGCCCTGCAAGGGAGCCCTTTGCTCACACAGCGGGCTTAGCATAAACCCAGAAAAGTCCTTCCTGTCTCAACCCATAGCTTAATAAGCTGCCTTTCCCTGACTGCAGAATAGGGACCTTCATTTAGAGTCAGATCTTATCTGGGATAGTTAGCTCCCTGTAGGGGTTAGCTGTCATCAGGAGGGAGGGGTTTGCACATTATTTGTGAAGGTCAATTGGAGGAGGAGTTTGCACATTATTTGTGAACTGGGGGAGGAGTTTGCACTTGTCTGTAGAAGGTCTCAGGCCTGCCTTCAGGTAAAGAAAGGCTCAGGGTTGGATCCTGTCATTCCCCACAACTCTTTTCTGTCAAAGTAGCTCCATTTAATCAGTTCTCAGTTTGGAGGTTCCAGATTAAATTTCATTTGTGAAGGATACAAAAGATTTTACCACCAAAGGATAGAAAAGGAAAAATCTAATCTCTTTTTAAACCTTATGTGATGACCCACCATAACCCCACAGTGATCAAGGCCAGCACTCCTAGCCACCCAACATGAGTGCGAGGCACAATCACTCTGCTGCTGTCCAATCTCAGGCACACGCCTGATAGGCTAATGGTGCTATTAAGAATGGAAAGACTTCTCTAACTTTTCTGTTGAAAAAAAAAAAAAAATCACAAAATTTGGCATAGACAAGATGGCAAGTTTCCATTTTTATAATTCCTGAGGGGGGAGGAGGACTCTATCTCCCTGGTTTTGTTATCTGAAAATTACCTGCTATAAGCTTTATTTCTACCAGATCAACAACAACCACAAAAAAGTAGCAGATTGCCTTGAGATCCCAGCAGGCCAGGAAGAAAAGAAATTGACACGGGATCCCAGGAGACTAACCAAATCCAATCAATTGCTAGATTATAAAATAGTTGCACAGGGGAGCTGGGTCCTGTAGAAGATCTCCAGAGTGGAAATACTTTCACCAGGCCAAGGGTGCCTGTCCCCTATGGGGGCGGGATCTGTTGTAGTTGACCTTGATGTATCCTCAAGGTCAAATGAAAAGCATTTAGATTTCCCTGTAGCGTGAAAAGAGTGGTTGGGAGAGGAATTTTTAGGTGTGGGACAGACAGAGCTGACATAATGAATGGGCTCTCGTGGCATCACAGGTGTTTCAGATTCAGCCACGTCCTACAGGACCCCTCGGAGCCCCGGAGGTATGTGCTAGGCACCATCAACCTCCCTGGGAGTGCTTAGCCACATTTTCATTCCTGTTTTCCTGGGAGGACATCTGTCTGCCACATTAGGGTACACGTTTTCATGTTCATGTGGGGCAGTAAAGGACCATACCCAGGACAGCGAGGGGAAAGCTGGGATAAAAGAATAACTGAGAGTGTTTCCTGAAGACTAAATGTCTCCCTTTGGCCTGATTTCTAATCGGCTCGTCCCAGTTCCCTCGGTTGAGAAGCCAGAGGTAATGAGTGAAATAAGTATTTCTCTGGATGGATCCCCAAGTTTCCAGAACCCAAGCCACCAAAGAGGAGGAGAGACCCCAAGAGGCAGTATATCTCAGCAGTTGTCACTGACCCACTGAGAACTGCCCTGTGCCTGTTTGCCCGTCTTGAGGTCGGCATGGCCACTTACAGGGCTGTCGTGGGATTAAATGAGCACACAAAGAGCTCTGCTTTACACCCTCAGTTCCCAGGAAAGGTCGGATTTGAACAAGAGGCCTCCCAGACATTTCTCTGAAGTCTCCTCTTCTGTCCACTCTGTCAGAGGTTCACATTTGATGACGGCACGTTTTCCCCTCACACATTGAGTTGCTTCCCTCTCTTTCCCGGTCACCCCCAGGAGACAGGGCTTCCCTTCGGTCTGTGCATGCCTGCCCACTGCCCCTCCTGGTATATGTGTGTGTGTCTCCCGCAGGCTGACAGGGTACGGGATCCACCACTGCTTTGCCAGGAGCATGATGGGCCACGAGGTGAAGGTGCCACTCCTGGAGAACTTCTATGCTGACTACTATACCATGGCCAGCATCGCACTGGCGTCCTGCCTGGCCATGTGCGTGGTGGTCAGGTTCCTCGGGCGCAGGGGAGGGCTGCTGCTCTTCATGATCCTCACCGCCTTGGCCTCACTTCTGCAGCTTGGGCTCCTCAACTGTGAGTGGGCCAGGGGAAAAGGAAGGGTGGAGGTGGGGGTGGTGCTGGAGGAGGGAAGAAAATACTCTGGAAAACTACCAAGAGTATTTGGAAGGCTTATCAGTTAATTTTCTGTTACTGTAACAAAGTACCCAAGATAATCAGCTTAAAGAACAGAGAAGTTTACTTTGGCTGTCAGTGTTGGAGGTTCCAGTCCACAGTCAGTTGGTCCACTGCCTTTTTCCTCGGGACAAGGCACATCAATGTGGAGCTCATGTTGCAGGTAGAGGAGAAGCAAAAGAGAATGAGGAAGAGTTAGGGGCTGGTGTCCCAGCAGCCCCTTTGAGGACATGCTCCTGATATCCCAACCAGTCCCAGTAGGTCGCATCTCCTAAAGTTTCCATCACATGCCAGTAGCACCACAGGTTGGTGACTAAGCCTTCAAGACATGGGCCTTTTGAGGACATTTGAGAGCCAAACTGTAACAGAAGGGCTGGGTGAGGCCCGAGGAGCGTTTCCTCTGGCCTCAGTGTTCATTCCAAAGTCAACAGCTTGAAGAAACTGCTTTGGGAAGGATGGTCCTTTAGTAGAGTGTCTCTGGTCCCTGCCTCTGAGGATGCTGGGCCTTCCTTCCGGCCTCTTCCCCCAGCTCCTCGGCCCTAAATCAGAGTTCTCGCAGCTGCACTGTGACTCCACAGCATGCCCGGCCCTCAGAGTCCTGGTGGATGTGGCTTCGCTAATGAGCAGACTATTTCTGTGTGATTCATCACATGACAAAGAACAAAGGGCCTGTTTCTTTTGTCTGAAATTAAGGGGAAAATAAATCTGTTTTGACACCCTCACTTGGGGGGCACTGCTTTTTCGTATACATTCTCATTTTTCAGTTTCTCTCTGGACCAAAGAAATTTCCTGATAAGTGTTTAAAATGATTTAAGGAAAAGCTAGGAAATCCATCTCGTCCCTCCAATGAGCTCGTTATAGCCCCTCATGAACAAGTAGCCACCTCTGTGTGTGGAAAAGCACCACTTCATCCCGGGCCTGCGCAGAGCACAACACGAACGAGCAGGATGCCTTCTCATGCCCAGGCAGTCCTCCTGGGACAGGCTGGGGACACTGTGGGTAAATCAATGCCCCTAGGGCATGCCCCCTTCCTTTACAAGGGAAGCCAGCCCCAGCTGTCAGTTAGACTCACTGACTGACCCTGTGCACCCCAGATGGAAGCGGCCCTGTTGTGCAGACTGGATTATAAAACAGCTAGTTTCAAACTCGGGAGATATTTTTCTAACTTGGGCAGGTTCTTATGCATTCAGTACCTTGCAGGGAGACTGATCCTATTTGCAGCTGTGACTAATGATGGAAATGGACAGGTGGCATCTCTCTCCCTCCGTCCCTGTCCCCCTGATGAGCATTGCACTGGCTGCCCTTCCAGGGAGCCTCTGCAGAGCTCACACAATTGGGAAAGATGTGGCAGTATGCCTCTGCCCCCAGGGTGTCACAGATGCCCTCTTTGACCCTGAGCAGTAACCCTGGAATAACTTTATATGTGAGGAAATTCATCCTTTGGATTTACTAGGGTCTCTGTTCTGAAGGGTTGCATTCTCTCCCCAGGCTCTGAGGCCAGTGGGGCTTCAGCCCTCTCTTCTTAACAAAAAGCTCTTTGTTTAGTCCAGTGTGAATTCCACGGCCCAGGCAGCCGGCGCCATCCCAGACATAGAAGGGAGTTAGCTCAGAAAGAAGTCACGTGGGCGCGTACTACACTAGCCCATGTCTAACATGCCTTCTCCCTCTCTTCCCACTTTTGTCATCCTGTGCGGCATGGGTGCCATCGTTTCCATGGGCCTAGTGATCGGAAAATACAGCCAGCATCCAGACTCAGGTGAGTCCCCAAAGCTGTTCCTGCACATTCTCATCTTTTAATGCACCCACGTGGGAGTTTTCATAAAGACTCACAGACTGGCTTCCTTTTTCTTTCTCTTCTTCTCCCTTTGCCCTCCAAGAATTGCAGCTGAAGTTGGCCGTAGGTTGGACACTATAAGCATACATTTGTATTCTCTACCCGCTCTTGCCGCTACAGAAAGCCACTCCTATTTCCCCGGTTTTGTGCAGCTTGGCACGCATGCCCTCCCTATCCCCTGGCACCCAAAGTCAGCACAGGCCCTTGGCCCCCTGCTGAAATTGCTTTGTCTCATGGACAGCGCCTGGACAAGATCAGAGAGCCCTTGGAGCGCTGGGGCCTGGCAGTCCGTGCTTCCAGGGGGAAGCCTCTGTTCCCTTGCAACTCAGTGCAGTCTCGCTGCTCTCCAGTCATGGGACAGCAGAGCGGCTGCCCTGAGCCTCATGCTGCCATCGCACTTGCCTGGCCCAACCCAAGCCCATGCCTCAGTGTCCCTGAGGAGTGTTTGCCCTCCATGCAATCCTGGTGGGGGAGGGGGGGGGACTAAGCTGGGCCCAGGCATGTGGCCCACAAACACGTGCCAATGAGCTATGCTTCACGCTGCCTTCTGCAAACTAGGCTCTGGTGCCATTGACGAGTCGCTGGGATCAGCTAAGCACTTTCCCTCCAAGCCCTTGAATTCTTCTGGGGTTATTTGAGGTCTTGTTCTCTTAAATCAACACTAAGATGCTCTGCCTCCTGGCATGGGCTGGTCAGACCCAAGGCTGAAATCATGGAGGCTCCTTTGGAAGCTGGGGCAGGAGGGATGCTGCTAAGACAGCAGGGATATGGCCAGCCTGCTCCCTGCTGGGCATGGCTCCCGGCTGCAGGATTCAGGTCACTGTAGCTCTGGCATGCTTGATGGACAGGGACTCATGGAGCCCAAAAGAGTTCCCTGCCAAGAGGGCTTCAGGCTCCTAAGCCTGGAGGTGCTACCTGACCAAAGGAAACCGCATGCCCCTGACTGTACTGAACACTGGCAGCAGGGAGGAGGGAACCCTTGGGGGTTGTCCCAGGCTTCTATCCTCCCCTCCCTGCTCATGCTCCGCACCCCTCACCCCTGGCCTAGCTCCCTCCTGTTCGTTCTTTTCTGTCCCCCCTCACTTCTCCTTCTTCTTAATCCCCTCCAGGGATGAGTGACAGCGTCAAGGACAAGTTCTCCATTGCGTTTTCCATTGTGGGCATGTTTGCCTCCCATGCGGTGGGAAGTCTTAGTGTGTTCTTCTGTGCAGAGATCACCCCCACAGTGATAAGGTGGGTAACAGGGGATACCACAGCACATTCTCTTCTGGGGACTCAGAGATGAGTCCTTGGCTACAGGCTCAAGTGTCACAAACCCCAGCAGCTCTCCCTGTCCCTGGCTTCTGGACAAGGGTACTGGGTGTGCAGGCAGTGTCAGCTGTGTGACTCACAGCCAGATGGACAGCTTCACTCTGACCCTGAGGCACCCAACAGGCAGGTGAGAGTTTGATCCCTGGTCCTGTCCAGGAAGTAACCAGGGAATTGGGAGCTGGAAACTATTCACATATGGGAAACATGATAATGACTGGGAGCGGGAAAGAGAGGCAGATCACTTACGCATGTATTTCTGCTAAGGTCAGTGCTGTTAGCTCTCCTAAGAGACCTCAATAACAAAGCTATTGAAAATCAAAAGGAAGCTGGATGCAGTGGCATGGGCCAGTAATCCCATCTACTTTGGAGGCTAAGGCAGAAGGATCATGAGTTTAAGGTCAGCCTGGGCAATACAGCAAGACCCTGTCTGGGGGGGCCGGGGGGCGGGAGAGGAAGCAGAAAGGACCTATTTTTTTGGCCTGGCCTGAAAAGATTAGAAATCACTAATCCAAAGGAAGGCCTCAGAAAGAGGAAGCCCAGGAAGTGGCTTTGATTTAGTTAGGAAGGATTTATTGGGAGCCTGCTATTTGCCAAACACTAGATCAGGTAAATAAGAACATAACCCTGGCCCGCATGGAGTTTGTCCTTAATTCATGTTTTCCAGAAAGGTGTCATTAATGTGTGCTAAGTACTTTTGTTTTAATTCATAAAGTGAGGTTTCATTCTTCTGGTGCTATCCCTGGAAAGTAGTTTAGGGATGATAGACACCATTTAATGTTATTATTAAAACATAATAAAAATGAAGTGATTTAAGAGTGTCACTTTCCTAATACGAGTTGAGCATTCCTAATCTGAAAATGTAAAACTCCAAAATACTCCAAAATCCAAAACTTTTTTTCCAACATGACACCATAGAAGTGTCACAAAGTTTCATGAACAATAATATTTAAATTATTAATAATATTTAAAATATTATTTTAGAATACCTTCAGGCTATGTCTCTAAGGTGTATGTAAAACATAAATTAATTATGTGTTTAAACTTGGGTCCCATCCCTAAGATATCTCATTATGTATATGTAAATATTCCAAAATCTGGAAAAATCCAATAGCTGAAACATTTCTGGCCACAAGCATTTTGGGTAAGAAATACTCGGCCTGTACTTGCTATTTTGTGACTTACTGAAGAGCTTACCTTGATCTATACCACACTGAGCTTTTTCTAAGGACATCATTAGCATCAAAGCATGTGCTTTTAGAAAATATAAATTGTGAATTATAGGCAGTTACTCAGCTCTGAGTTAAAACCTGAAAGTCAGCATGGTGACACCCTTTGGAAGAACAAGTAGAGGCCATTTCCATTCCAAGCAGGACCCAGAGAGACTAATTATTTTAGCCCCTCTGGTGCTAGGCAGGACTTGGGGAGCAGGCCGACAGGCTTGTGGACTTTCTTCCTTTACACATTTGCAGTTGTCATGCTGACAATAGAGTTTTCACAGGAGCTCATTTTGATTCATTCTCTTGGATTCGTTCAATACAAGCCAAGAATGATGGCTACTTGGTTTCTGTAAGAAAATGCCAAGATATTCTATGATTAAGAAAAAAGTGATTAAGTGCCAAGTAATCCATCCTGTCCCTGCCTTCTGAGTAAGCCGCCGTCACGAGTCATGCCTGTAGTTGCAAAACACCTCAGGCGCACAGCAACTTCTTTCTTTAACTAGTAAAATTTCCTTTATAAAAGAATCCAACAAAGATGATTCTTTCAAGAGGGCCCCAGTCCCAGTTAGACTATCTGGGTTTTGGGCTGGCCTCTCTGCGGTATTTATATGATTAGGTCTGTTTCTCTGGAGGGATGGCAAACTTAACTCTGGTAGTTTGTAGCCTCCTTATTCATTGTTAGATTTTGCTTAGCAAGCTAGACTGGAGGAAATGGGGTACCCTTTTCTTCTTTGACGCAAACCTGAAAAGATTATTTGGGGATAGAAATTCAAGCAATATGTTCTGAGACTCAGCTCACCAAGATGACCAACTAGAAAAAACATTAGACCCTGAGGGATGTTTTTGTACCTGCAGAGGATGAAAGGAAATTGAGTCTAAAGGGGGTCTCCAGGCCAGGCTGGGAAGAATGTCTAGTGTTCCTGACAAATCACGCTTCTCACTGTGAGCCCTTCCCACCCGTGGACTTGTGTGGCTTTTTCTCACACAACAAAACAACTCCCATGAAGTCCCTGGGGTGAGAATGGGCTTTCCTACCATCCCCCACTTCACATAGATAAGTCCAAGATAAATGAGGGTGGGCAGCTTGGGGGGATCTGTGGTCTTCTTCTTTCTTAATGCAAAACTTACTTTTTTCTACAGTGCTGAACTAAAAACAAACCTTCTGAGCAAGAACAGTAGCAAAGGTTAAGATTCCAGGAGTGACTAACTGTAAACAAATACAAGAATAAGTTTTCTGCACAAACACTTGCAGAAATCTGTTATCCCAAGGATTGTGAAGACTAAGGAGGGTGAACAAAATCTTATTTCATGAGATTCTGTCCAGACTTTATATGACAGAGAACCACTTCCCCCCTGCTTAGACTCAGTCCAGATGGTGTTTGTCAGTCATGTGACAGCTTCTTCTGAGATTTCCTTCCAAGGCTTCAGGAATTGGGTACAAGTTGTCGTGGGCTGGGAAAGGACCTATATCCCATGGCCCCATCTCCCCCCTTGGCTTGAGCAGAAGTGGCCTTGGGGTCCTGGGTTGGTTTATTAGCAGCTGGTGGCTTCTCTGTGCCAGGTCATCTTGTTTTATACTATTTATCTGAAAGCTGCAGGAGGGAACCCCTGGACCTGCACTGGTTTCCTTTCTCCATTCAAAGAGGTCAGGATGGGAGAGGAGGCAGGTACTGGTGATCATGATAAGTTGGCTTCATTGTCTGCAATAATCACTCACAGGTCCCAGGAGCCCTGGGTGTTGGTACTCAGTTCCCATGCATTGTCTGAACTCCTTTGTCTACCCTCTCCTGCACACTTCCCCACCCGTAACCCCAGCCCATCCTTCTAAATCATTTGTAGTCAGTCTGCGCTTGTCTGAGACCCTCCTCCCTGAAGAAGATCCTAGGGTCTTCTGTTCTGATGTTGCTTCAAGAAGAAGCATGAAGGACAAAGATGACATATGCTGTAGTATGGCATTTAGAGTCTAGTTAGTCTATGTAGTCCTGGAATTCTTAATTCAAGCTTGCTACTTTTAATAGTAGTCTACCTGTCATCTTTCCATTCTTATCTATATATTATTACTATTAAAGTATTTGTGTTCCTAATGCACAAGGGGACAACTTGTCCCCCTTTCTATAAATCAGTTGTCTCTGATGAGTAAACACGTGTATATGCTGCCCCCTAGTGGCAAGCCTGGAGAACAGCAGAAAAGTCAGGTCTGCATTTTGGAAGGAAATGAATTTAACACCTTAAAACTATGCCCAGTAAGGATCACATGAGAGATTTCAGAAGAGGAAATACAAAGTCAAAAATGGTATATCAATATCTGCCAAAATTCTTCCTAATATTACAAATAACTTCTAGAAATCTGGTATAAAACCAAACAGAAAAGTGCCTTCATAGGAAAAAAATATGTGTGTGTGTATACATAAATAGTCATGCATTGTTTCTCAATGGGGACATGTTAGGAGAAATATGTCACCAGCCAGTTTTATCCTTCAAACATCCTAGCATATACTTAACACAAACCTGTATGGTCTAGATCAATCATTTGCATGGCCTTTTGATACAACCAAGAAACATGGTAAACATGTATGAGGCCACTGTCAAAGTAACACAGAATACTACTACTTACAGTAAACAATTATTTTAGAGTATACTTCTACACTATAAAGAAGTACACTCTAAAATAATAAGTATAATAAATCCACAAACCAGTAGCAGCCATTGGTCATCATTATCAATTATTATGTACTGTACCTAATTTTATGCACTATACTTTTATAAAAGCAGCGCAGTAGTTTGTTTATACCAGAATCATCACAAATACACAAGAAATGCACTGTGCTGGATGTCATGATGGCTATGTCACTACTGCTACAATATCACCAGGAACAGGAAATTTTCAGCTCCATTATAATCTCATAGGTCCATTGTTGTGTGTGTGTGTGGTTTGTCATGGGCTAAAATATTGTTATGTACCATATGACCATATTCCATGATATAAATACATATGAACATGTTTCATATTATATACACAAAACAGATAGGTTAATGAGCCATAAATCAATTATATTTCATTAACATGATTTATCAACATTATATTCATAAATTATATAAATATCATTCACCTGGCATTATGCAAGGAGACTCCCTTGGTGCTGAGCCTTTGCCCTCTAGTAGTGGTTCCATGCATACTCTTCTGAGGGTCTGCACTCCACCTTTCTGTTTATGACCCCTATGTGAGTAAGGGCTCTGTCCACACTTAGTGCCAGAAAAGCACAAGTAGAATACAGGGAGGCTCCAGAGACAATGATGTCTTACTAAAGCCCAAGCACATCCATTATCCCTGGCATCTAACAAAGTCCCTCACGACATCCTGTGGCTTCCTGAGTTTATCAGAAGTACTAAATAGCTATTTTAGGTATTCCTGTTACTCATCTGATAGATGGACTTTGTCTCACTGCTCTTCATAGTGGTCATCTATATTTAACCTGTCCCATTCATTTGGGTGAGCCAGCCTTCCTACCCAGGAAGCCGGCCCGATCCACAAGCATCCAATATTTATTAAGTACAAACAGTGTGTTCCAGTTGATGTTTTAGAAAACAATCTGTGTCCTTGAAAGGTTCATGGACAAGTAAGAACAAAAGGCGGGGCTAGGCATATAGCTCAGTTGGTAGTATGCTTGTCTCTCATGCACAAGGCCCTGTGTTCAATCCCCAGCA